AAGGGTTAGTGCAGTGAGGACGGCAGACATTGTTCTGAGCAGCCAAGAGCATCAGTCTCAAAGGTTATGTTTATCCAGTGCCAGCATTTGAGATATCTGCTCAGGGATGGACAAGAACTTGGGAGGACAGGATTAAGTTGTCATGGTCCTTGTAGCTATTACTGACATAGGCAAGAGAAGAAAAGAGGTTCTACATAGACAGTACGAGGAAACAGGCACCAAATTGAAGAGCAGAACCTCAAGTGTATTAATTTCTGGATCATTACCTGTGTCATGTGACAATTGGTACAGGGCACTCAAGATCTGGCTCATAGGACTTTGACATCAGTACTGTGGAAAATGGAGGTCTAAATGTGAGAATTGTCTGCACCTGAACCATGTTGTGACCAGTATTCTAGCAAACTATAACTGGGGAACTAGAGAGGGCTTTAAACTAAACAGTGGGGGTGGAGGGTCAAGTTTGAGTAGATATAGCAAATCAAGGGGTAAGAGTTATGACAGAAAAACAGAATAGGAACATAGAAAGTGATGGACTGAGAATGGCAGGAAAGAGCAGAGACAATAAACTTAAGAATACGCTAACAGTCAAGACAAGATGTTCCAAAAATAACAAACAGACAACACTAAAGGCTCTGTATTTGAATGCATGTAGTATTCAAAACAAAGTAAATAATTTGATTGTGCACATTGCAGTAAATAAAATGGCTTGATAATCATTATGGAGGCATGGCTGTACAATTACAAAGATTGGGTAATGAATACTGAAGGGTATATGATATTTAAGAAGAACAGGAAGCTAAGTAAAATTAGAAGAGCAGTGCTCCTAATCAAAGATGGTACTGGTGCAATCAGTACAGTTCAATTCTGCTCAGGAGACCAGGATGTACAACCACTTTGGACAGAGGTGAGGAACAGGAGGATTAATAAATCATCAGTGGGAATACTTTAGAAGCCCACTAAAAGTAACCACAATTTCTGATAAGTATGTAAAAATAAATATTGGTTTTAAAATTAAAACAAGGGTGACTATCTAGGTTTGAAAGGTGAGTGAGCTGAAGTGAACGGGAAAGTTGGGCAATAGATCAATAAAGTAGCAGACATTTAATGGAATATTTCAGAATACTCTGAAAAAATATATTCCTGCTCTAAAGAAAAATTCTATGGGAAGGCACCGCTATTTGTGATTAACTAAAGTAATTAAGGAAAGCATCAGACTTAAAGGAAAAGCATACCGTTGCACACAGATGAGTGGCTGGTCAGATGACTGGACAGAATTTAAAGAATGGCATAGATTGACTAAAAGATTAACCATGAGGAATAAATTACACTATGGCAGAAGGTTAGGTATAAATGTATAAAGAAATGGATTCCAAGAGTTTCGACAGGGAATCAGTTGAGTTTTGGAAGACTGAAAATGGTGAGTTAATAGCAGATAATACTGAGATAGAACACAGAACAGTACAGCACAGGAACAATTCCTTTGGCCATCCTGTCTGCACAGACCATGATACTATTCTAAACTAATCCCATCTGCCTCCACATGGTCTGTATTACTCTGCGCATTCTTCCTTTTCAGACAATAATAGTGCACAAAATTAAGAGACATTTGTTTCTGTCATCAGTATATAGGACACACTAAACATATCAGTAATATTTGGAAATCAAGAGCTGTAAGGGATGCAGAAACTTAATGAAATTACAATCACTGGGAAAGTGGTACTAAACAAACTGATGGAACTGTGGATTGTTAAGTCTCCAGGACCTGATAGTTTTCACCCTAGGGACATAAAGGAGGAGGCAGAAGATGTTAATTTTCCAAAATTCTGAAAAGGTTCCACCAGATTGTAAAACAGTGAATATAACTCCTCTATTTAAGGAGGGAGGCAGAAAACAGGAAACTATAAGTCAAAGAGCTTGACGTTCATCATGGAGGACATACTAAAAGTGGCCATTAAGGCTGTTATAGCTGGACACTTAGAAAAGCTCAAGATAATCAGGAATTGTTTTGTGAAAGGGAAATCATGTTCAACCAACAAGGAACTTCCTTCCTAATGGCATTGTAAGTCTACCTATAGCACATGGACTGCAAGCAGTTCAAAAAGGTAGCTCACTACTATCTTCTCTAGACCAACTCAGGACGGGCAATAAATGCTGGCCCAGCCAGTGACATCTATATACCATGAATGAATGAAAGGAAAGAAGAATTTATTGTAGTTTCTTTAAAGCAATAACATGTTCTGTGAATAAAGGGACACCTGTAGATGTACTGTACTTGAATTCCTAGAAAGCATTTGTAAAGCTGTCTCCTGTGCAAACTGGGAGCTCAGCATGTAGGAGATTGGCTGACTGGCAGAAAACAGTAAGTATGCCTAAATGGAGACTTCTTTCTGATTGGCAGGATGTGATAACTGGGGTCCTGTAGGGTCAATGCTGGGGTCTCAGCTGTTTACAATGTATATCAATGACTAAGAAAAGTGAGTAAAATCTGGATGGGTGTATGAATAGGAAGGGTTTAGAAGGATATGGGCCAAAGGCTGGCAAATGGGACGAGGTCAGATTGGGGTGTCTAGTCAGCTCAGCCAAATTGGGCCGAAGGGTCTGTTTCTGTACTGTTTGACTGTATGACTACAAAAGTGTGGTAGTTACATTTGCAGATGATTCAAAGACAGGTAGGCAAGTATGTTGTGAAGAGGACATAAGGAGGTTGCTGACAAATAGGTTGACTGAATTGGCAAAAGTCTGGCAGTTGGAGTATAATATAAGAAAATGCGAAGTTCTCCAGTTTGGAAGAAAGAACAAAAATCAGAATACTACTTAAATGGAGAATCACAGCTGAATTCTGAGTTGAAGATGAATTTAGGTGTCCTCATACATGAGTCATAATAAATGCAGCATGCAGGTGCAGCAATGCAATAGTAGAGTCACAGAATCATCCAGCATGGAAACAGACCCTTCGGTCCAACTAGTCTCAAACTAAACTAACCCACCTGCCAACGTTTGGCCCATATCCCTCCAAACATTTCTTATTCATGTACTTACCTAAATGCCTTTTAAGTGTTGCAACTGTACCTACATACACCATTCCACACATTATCCATTTTCTGTGGAAAAAAAAATTGCCCCTCATGTCTTTTTTAAATCTTTCTCCTTTCACCTTAAAAATAAGACCCCTCATCTTGAAATCACCCATCCTATGGAAAAGACACCTGCCATTCACCTTATCTATACCCCTCATTATTTTATTTATTAGTTTATTATTTATTTTTAGTTTATTAGTTTATTATTTTATAAACTTTTATAAGGTCACCCTCAACCTCCTATGCTCCAGTGAAAAAAGTCCTAGCCTTTCCATATAACTCAAACACTCCATTCGCAGCAACATCCTGGTAAATCTCTTCTGAACCCTCTACAGCTTAATAATATCCTTCTTATAACAGGGAGACCAGAATTCGACACAGTACTCCAGGAGAGGCCTCACCAATGTCCTGTACAACCGCAACATGACTTCCCAACTCCTTAACTCAAAGGTCTATGCACTGAAGGCAAACGTGCTAAATGCCCTCTTAACAACCCAAGTAATCAAAAAAGTTCATGGAAAGCTATCCTTTAATAGGAGCGGAATTGAACATAACAGCAAGAATGTTACACTTCAGTTGTACATTTATACAGTATTGGTGAGATCACATTTCAAACACTGTGTATGGTTTTGATCTTATTTCAGGGAGGATGTAAATGCATTGGATGTAGTTCAGAGGAAGTTTTTGGACTGATACCTGGATTGACCAGGTTACCTTACGATGAAAGGTTGAATAGACTGGGCTTGTTTCCGCTAGGATTTAGAAGAGGGGTGACCTGATTGGGGTATAGAATCATAGAATTTTACAGTATAAAAGGAGGCCATTTAGCCCACTGTGTCTACACCGACTCCCAAGAGATACTCAGCTAGTCCCATTCTCCAGCCTTATTTCCATAGTTCTCTAAATTCATCACTTTAAAATATATATCAGGCTCTCTCTGACACCTCATATGGAATCCATTTCTACCACTCTCCTAGATAAAGCACTCCAAATCCTAATAACTCTCGAGTAAAGAAGTTTCTCCTCATCTCACTCTTTTGCTGACAATAGTGAAAGTATGATTCCTAGTTACTGACATACCAACTAGTGGAAACAGTTCTTCACTTCCCTCTTTGCTCTGTCAAAATTGTTCACAATTTTGAACACCTCAATAATGTCACCTCTTAGTCTTCTCTGCTCCAAGTAGAACAAGCCCAATTTCTCTAATCCTTCCTTTTATCTAAAATCGTTCATTCCTTT